TGTTCCCATGCCTTAGAAGAAGGTCATATGAATGGGCTTATAGCTGTCACACTTTGCAGCAGAAATTTCTAAGGCCAAAGGGAGGTAGCATCCCTAAGTACATTTTCAAATTAATTCTGTCACCAAGGGTTGAGTTCCTGGCTTTATGACCTGCCTTCCCTTGGTTGGACTTCCTCAATTTCTCTCCCCTTTGGGAGAGAAATAAAGGGGTTCGGGCTACCCTCCTTCCCAGCAGCAAGGCCAGGCATCAGAAGCACAAGATGGACCAGGTACACAGAACTGTCCTGGGATGCTGTCCCAGGAATGGAAGGTTCTGAGAAGCCTCCCCACCTGGATCTATAAGACAATGCAGAGCACACAATGAAAGGACCCAGATCTGCAAAATAAAAACCTATTAAGAGGATATGCTGCTGGCCGGCATATCCCACACTGTCGATGGCAATGCCATGCCAGTATGTGACCTCTCCATGCCATGCTTCTGCTCAAATGGCAGCCAGCCGCACACTGACCAGAGTTCCTTACACTGGAGAGACAGTGGCATGGTCCTGAGCAAAAGGTGTAGGTCCTGAAGTCAGGAGATGTAAGGTTTCCAGCTCCAGGGCAGTGGGCAGGTGACTAAACCCTGTTCTCACACTAACAAAGTAAAAGATTATCTGCCCTCGGGAATGCTTGTAAGATTAAACACAACGATATCTGCAAATTGCCTCCCAGAAGGTGGTTGTACACATTAACTGTCTTCCATTGATTCTGAAGCACATAAAGACAAGAGTTGGGATTCTGTCTAATGGGACTTCATTTGAAAAATGCCAACGGTTGTTTTATTAATAATTTTTAAAAACCATTGAGTCTTGATTGCTACAATTAAATGGGGTTATAAGGCTTGCTCTTTGGAGATCATCTTTTTTCACTCATCTCATTTTTCAGAAGAGGAAACCAAGGTGCAAGTTCACACAAAGGAAATAGCATTGGTCCAAAGACCGAAGGGAAAATAAGATAATAGCAGTTATGATTCTATGACCCAGAAACCTAAGAGTTATACCACCAAGGAAAGGGAGAAAGAAATCAAGAATTTGTAGAGCCAGTGTTAATTAACTCATTTCTCTTTTGCCCTTTTCTATTGTTCTTAGAAGCAATTATGTCTCCGGTACCCTCTCTCCCACCTTCAGCCACTGCATAAAACTGTCACAGATTAAATCAAATTGTTCAGCCATTTCATTAGAGAGACTCCAGCTCTCATTCTCTGGGGGCATTTTCACTCTTCTCAAATAAAAGCCTCTTTCAGATAAGTTAACTCCTTCTTGAAGACTGTAGAAAGCCACTGAGCAGACCACTAAAGGGCTGTTGAGACCTGATGGTTTTTTTGGTAGTCATACAGCCCTGACACAGCCCCTTCTTTCACGGAGACTGAACTCTGACTGGCAAGACAGAACAGGAGGGAGTGCAAGCAACAGGAGAGAAGAGTGTTAAGGTAGAAGAACCCAGGCCTCCAGGTCTGACTCAAACTTTCTCATCTTGTGACCCTGGGTACGTTTCTTTTCCTGGATGAACTTCATTTCTCCAATCTCAAAAATGCAAGTTTAATTTTTTTTTTTTTCCTGTAGTGGATTCCAGGAATCCCTCCAAAATAGCACACAAATGCTTGAGAAGAATGATAGAGCTGTTGGGAAGAGAGAGGATGTTGGAATTCTCTTTGATGGATAGCAAAGTCTTGTTCTGACTTGTTTTCTGGAATGGTTGACATAAAGGAGGGGAGAGATCAGACATTGTGGTGGGAGCCTGCTGCTTAGAAGCAGCTTGGGGGAGGGGACAGAGGGGAGGGAAGGCTGGCCAGGCTGGGGGCACCCTGGCATCTGGAGGGGTGGAACCTATGGGGGCAGGGTTTCTGGGCACAATCACTAGGTGTTGAATGACACTCGATGAGTCAGGCTGAAAGGACAGAAAGGCATTGTTGGGACAGTTTGCTGTGTCTGGGGACACTGGAGATGGTGGCAAATCGGCGAGGCCAGCATACATGTGGTTTCAGAGTTAGTTCTGCATGTTGAGAACTTTCCCCAGAAGCCCGAAGGCCTCGGTGATGATAAACAAAGAGTCTGAGGAACCAAGGCAGCAGGCAGGTTCCAGGAGGCCCAAGGAGCAGTACAGAAGCAGGCATGTGCAGGACAGCCTGTGCGGGACAGCCACTGCGTGTCACACGTGTGTTTCCCAAGGCCTGTGCAGAGCAGCCTGTGCATGTCACACGCATGATTCTGAGGCCTGTGCGGGACAGCCTGTGCATGTCACATGTGCTTCATAAGGTCTGTGTGGGATAGCCTGTGTGTGTCACATGCATGCTTCCTGAGGCCTGTGCAAAGCAGCCTGTGAATGTCACACATGTGCTTCCCGAGGCCTGTGTAGGACAGCCTCTGCATGTCACACGCATGCTTCCCGAGGCCTGTGTAGGACAGCCTCTGCATGTCACACGTGTGTTTCCCAAGGCCTGTGCAGAGCAGCCTGTGCATGTCACACGCATGCTTCCCGAGGCCTGTGTAGGACAGCCTCTGCATGTCACATGCATGCTTCCCGAGGCCTGTGCGAGGCAGCCTGTGTGGCTACAATCCCCTCAGGGCCAGGGAGGCTGCCTGGTTTGCCTCTCCCCTCTTGCCTGACTTGGGCCTCGGAGGCAGCACACTCCCACTATGTGGGTGGGATCCTGACTTCCTCAAGTCTCTGGCCCAGGGCCCAGCACCGGGTAGATGCCCAGGAAGTGTCTGCTGAACTGCGGGGAATGTGGGTTGGAGTCACACCACCTGTTGTGTTTCTGTGAGCATTTTGGGGAAGCACATTTCCTGGGTACCTTCGCCAGGCTCAGGGATGGAGACATGGTCAATGTATCCCTGCCCTCCTGGACTCCAGGTGTTGCTGTTAGAACCTGCCCAGCTGCTAGAAGGTTCCTACAAGGTAGAGGCCCTGGGATTTTAAGTGTGGATGTTTTTCTGGTTTGTGAGGATGGTAGGGGCAAGAGTGGAGAAAGAAGGGCCCGAGCCTTAAATTTGCAAGGGCATCCTCTTTTCTAGTCACAAAGATCAATAGGATCCAAAAAGGATGGGATTTGCACTTCACTTTAAACATGCTGCCCGTTCTAGCCAACCCTTCTGTGGTGCACTATGAGTTTATAGCTTTTGTAAGCCTTGTCATTGTCTTGGGAATATCACTAAGCATTAGCTTGAGTAGTAAGTGACAAGTTATTCATGTAAATGTCTAAGATACATGGACTTTTAAACAACTCTCATTTTGGTGTTCCTTGTTTCTTAATATAGTAGGAGTCTCAGCTCACACCGCCCCTTCCCTTAAATCAGGGAGCTGTGCAGACCTCCCTCAGCCTGGGCAGGGCCTTCATCTGAGAGTGTACTTCTTTCCAGAACCTGTACACATAGGGCATGGAGACAGGATTCAAGGCCAGGGTGGGAGTTGGACGGGCTGACTTTTGTGCCCTTCATAAGGTTCAATCCTGAGCTGCAGACACAGGTAGGTGGGAGATTAGTTTCCATTTGGGCTAGAGGCCGACGGGGCGACCCTGTTCCATCTCCTCTCTTTGATCCCACAAAGCAGAGAGCTCTGTTTATGGATGTGGGCTTCCTCTCTGTGCTTCTACCATCCAGAGGGAATGTGGCTTCCCTAAAACCCTATTCTCTGATAATCTATGTCTCTTTCCAAAATATTCGTATGAAGGTCTAGACTTGGAACTTTTATCATTAAGGACAATCAGTAAACAGAGTAATAACTAACATGTACTCTATGCCAGGCCATGTTCAAAGTGGTTCCCATGCTTTATCTCAGTTAATTTTGTAACCACAACTCAACACTGTTCGTTCGATTAGTGTCCTCCCAAATGATTAGAAAAAGGTTAATGACTTGGCCAGGCACAGAGGCTCACGCCTGTAATCCCACCACATTGGGAGGCCAAGGCAGGTAGATCACCTGAGGTCAGGAATTCAAGATCAGCCTGGCAACATGGTGAAACCCTGTCTCTACTAAAAATACAAAAATTAGCTGGGTGTGGTGCGTGTGCTTGTAATCCCAGCTACTTGGGAGGCTGAGGCAGGAGATTCGCTTGAACCCGGGAGGCAGGGTTGCAGTCAGCCAAGATCATGCCATTGCACTCCAGCCTAGGCGACAGAGTGAGACTGCGTTTCAAAAAAACAAAAACAGAAAAGGTTAATGCCTTGCCCGTAGTCATCTAGCTTATAAGTACACAGCGAGAATTTAAGACTGGGTGGTTACCTTGGAAACTGTTATGGAGCAACCCAGAGATTTAGCATCAGTGGTTCAAATCTCAGCTCTACAATTACTTGCCATGTGACCTCACACGAGTCACTTACCCCCTCTGAGACTCAGTTTCCCTCACTGCACAATAGGCTTAAGCATGATACAAGGACTTTACAATGATCAAACGTAACAGTCGATGTGAAAGGGCTTCAGCAGCATGCAGCCGGTACGCAGAATTGTTAGGAAGTTTTCCCCTTTCATCCTTTGTTAAAGCATGCTGACAAACTCAAACGGATGACAAAAAGTAGCAGCAGAAAGTACCTTGTCCTCATGCCTTTGGTTGTACAGACACACAGCTCTGTACTCTGAATTCCTGGTGCACAGAGTTGATGGTGAGGGCCCCTGAGTGGAGATACTTTCTGGGCCACCTGAAATGCTGCTTGGTTTCTCACACAAACCCTGCTGTGGCTGCTTACCATCCTCAGCGAGGGTGCGAAGGAATGGAAACTTTTGCCACCAACAGCATTTGCTAGCAACTTCCCTTTCTGTGGTTTTTCTGTCATTCCCTTGATAAAAGAACTTGAACTGCGCAAAAGTAACCAATCTTCACCAATCTCATCTTCACATATAAACAGCCGCCTTTCAAGAAGCAAGCTGCCAGAAAAATGATGCATGATGCTCTCTAAACTGGGTCATTCTCCACTTGGAGAGCTCAGGGCACGGTTGACTTTCCCCGTCTGTCTCCTATACCGTAGGCTCTGGGCATCACCAGCGGCCCCAGGGAAAAAGAAAGAAATGGGAAACAGCATGAAATCCGCCCCTGCACCTGCTGAGAGGCCCCTGCCCAACCCAGAGGGTAAGTCTGGCTTCTTTGGTGAGATGCTTAAGTCTGTGCTACAAGAGCCTGTGGTAAAGACTGGGCATTGGTGGATGCTGATAACTACTTAAATGGGGCAACGGGTACTGAAGGGCTCATGATATCCGTCTCTCTAGTTTTGTTTGTGGTTCAAATATTTCATAATTAAAAGATGAAAAGGATTGGATGCTTGGCACACCTGAAGGATGTCAAATCTTTGGCATTTTCAGATGGATCTCCAAGATCAGCTGGTTTAATCCCTTTATTTTCCAGGTAGGGAAACTGAGCCTCACAAAGGGAATGGGATCCACATCATTGGGCATTTGCTGATAAATATCCAATTCAGGCTCATCTGATTCTGAAATCTAGACTCCTGTTTACCAAACTCTGGCAGCCCATAATATAATATCATCCATATAGTTAGCCCCGCAAGAGCTGGATCTGTGTTACTTTTCTAAGCTAGGCACCATCGTGACATCTTCCTGAAAACAAAGGAATCCTATGTCCCATTGGTGGGACTGCAAGGTAACAGGCATTCTCAGGGGAAGAGCCTAATATTGCAGGTCAATCAGTGACGGCAAAAGTCAGCTTTTTGGAGAGATGTCAGGTTTGGCTAGATTCTCAAAGCTACAAAGAGTCCCTCAGCAACTGGCCAGAGGCCTGGGAGGGAACACCAGTGAACGATGGGCAAAGGCTGAACATCAAATCCACCATGCTCTGGGCTCAGCTATGCTGGCCCCTTCTAATGGCCTGACCTTTATTTCCTCTGATTCCTAGTCCATAATTCTCATCTTCTGGGGTCTTGGGAAAGGGACGGTTAGGAAGGCTGGGGGGCACCTTGGACACTTCTACTTCTCACCTTACATGGTAGCATTTGGGGTCTGGTGTCCCATCTCCTAGCAGGGGTGACCACACATGGTTCCCAGCAGCCCCTGCAGCACTGCACTGGGAGGAGTTCACTGGCACAGATGGCTGCCCTGTCTGCCCAGCTTGACAGGGGAGTGGACTGTGCCAGGTTCCTGCGCTGCCTCCAGGTACTACGCATTTCATGACTTCTGTGGCTCACTCACAAAGGAACCTTCTCACCGCTTCCAAAATGGACAGGCCCAGCTCGTGTGGTCTAATGGCCTCAGATGCCCCCAAGCCGGCATGCCAAGACCCAGCCACCCCACACCCCTTTCAAGTCAGATGCAGAACAATACTAGTGGCTCTTATTTATCTGGTGAAGTAACTCCCCTTCCCAAGCCGAAAGGAAGAGGGATAAACAAAAAGAATATTCCCCAGGACCGAGGAGGTGGAACCAGATTACAAGGTGGAACAGAGCATGTGCCCTCAGGGCCCTGCGGACAGCAGCCCTCTACCTCCCGTGCCACACTCAGAACAGTGTGCAACATGCAGGGCGGCTAAGCTGCTGCTGCTGCTGTCGGGACAATGCCGGGCTCTTTCTCACCCTCTCCAAACTGGCTTTGGTCACAGCCTCCTCCTCTGGTCATAACCACTGCTAGAAAACTGACACCACAGGGCCCTGGGACCAGGCAGGCTGGGGATGCACCCACCCACCGAACCCATCTTAGGTTGCCACCTCTCAGCCTGGGGCAGAGGGGCAGCATGCTTGAGCGAACCTCATGAAAACAGCCTCCAAGATTTGCTCATTTGCCTTCAACTTTTCAATGCAAATTGTCATGAAATAAGTTTATTTTTTCCATTATGTGGGTGGGAGGTCACCTCTAGAACAGAGATAGAGAGAGGGGTCTCCCCACCCCTCCACCCCCTGGTGAAGAGAATTCCCCCGGTCATACCCCATTTGTGATCCAGGCAACCACATCAAGCGCTGGTGGGCTGCTTTTCCAACCCCCAGCCCTGAAACGTTCCCCCGATCATTGGTCGTAACGTTATTTCCTCTTTCTCTTGTACCTAACTTGAGTGAGGGAGGGGAAGGCGGTGCAGTGATGCTGTATTAAGTAGTCCCCATCTGCCTCATGCACAGGGTCAGGGTTTTTATGGAGTGAGCTCCTATTCAGCTAATGCTCCTGTGGTTGCTCATCCGGTTACTCTCAAATGAGTAACCTAGGAGACGGTGCAGGTCTCGCTCGTTGCTTTAGGCCAATGTGCAATTAGAGCCAGCTCTCAGTTAGCTTCAGCGCCAGAGAGTTAAAGGCACCACAGACCCTGGCCCTGCACAGAAATCACACAGAGGCCAGCCTGGACACTTTCAGACAACCATGTTTTCTGGCCTTTTGGGAGATCATTCTTCTCCCAAGCCAGGACTGTGAACGCCTTGGAATATGGCTTTGCCTATTTGTCTTTTTTTTTTTTTTTTTTTCCTAAACTAAGCTTTTCAGAACATTCCTGATCAATTGATTTCTCAGGAACTAATGTCATAAAACCGACAAAAGGAAGCAGGACTAGAAGGAAACAGAACAAGTTTCAGAGGCAGAAGGCCCTCACTGAACTTCCAGTAATGGTCTGTGGAAGCTGTGTGACTTTAGGTGAGTCACTAGGCCCGCCCCAGAGATCTGGAACAAGTCCCTCCTCAAAGCAACAGCATGATGCAGTGCAGGCACCAGCAAAGAAGGGTGTGGAAACTTCTAAAAACTCCATTTAGTGTTACCTGACTATACCAGGCTATATCTAAATGGCCATTCCCCAAAAGTTTTAAAGTGGTGAAACTGGTAGTTCTGTAACTTTGAAATCATCCCAAAATGTTCATTTTCTCTAAAATTCTATGCATGCTTCTGTACCAGACATGGGCAGTACAGGATTTTTTAATACAACCTAGGGAAGTCCCGCTGTGGTCAGGAAATGGCATATTTCCACCTTAAAATGAGCACTCTGTCTCTCTGCTGTGATCTTTTTCCCCTCTTTGTTCTTTCTCTTCTTATCACCCTGACCTGAAGAGGCACCAACAGAGGCAGCAGCACAGACCCCTTTCTGCCCGTGCAAGGGTAGAAATAATGCTGTTTACATAGTTGCCCAGTGGAGAGAAGGGGGCGGGTGGGACTCGGGGAAGGAAGAAGGAGGTAGGGACCTCTCAAACCCAGCTTGCAGCTTCTCAGCAAGTGGTCCTCATACCACCTGCATCAGAATCCCCTGGGAAGTAGTTGCAATGCAGATTCCTGGGTCCCCCCCAGGCCTACTAATCAGAACCTGGGGATGGTGGGAGGTAGCCGCCAGCTGAATTTCCTACGAGTCCCTGGGGACCCTGTAATCCCTTAAGCTTGCAGACCACAGACCAGCTTTTAGTCCTGCCCCTGCACTGACACACAACGAGAGATGAGAAAGAGTTTATCTCCTTAGTCTCTCTGTCCTCCTTTGTAAAATGGGAATGATTAGAGTCGCTTGGTGCTCACCGCCTCCAGACACAGTGCCCAGTGCTATCACAGACTCGATTCTCACAGCCCCGCGAGGCTTCTGCCTATTATCATCTCTGTTTTGCAGTTGGAGAATCTGAGGTACAAGAAGCTTAAATGACTTGCCTGAGGCCATACAGCTCAGATGAGACAGCTGGAATTCAAAGCCAGGTGGTCTGACTCCAAGGTCCATCTCCCCACCTCAGTGTGTGCCTGAAAAGGACAGGGTTTCAAGAAGCCCACATGTTCTGGGAGAGGATAGGCTTGCTCTTGAGTGACTGAGAATGTGCCTGGCCACCAGATTTAGTGACACAGATGCTCAAGTACCCTAGCAAGGGGTCCCACAGACAGTGAATCTGTGTCAAATCTTGGACCAGATCCCTTTTTTCTATTTGCGTCTAACCTCGCTGTTGGTACATGAGATGGCCTTAGCCGGAACATGATCATTCAACTTTTACATCATTGTACGTTGATGAACGTCATAAAATATATAACTAGCCTGAGAAATCCATGATGTCACATTGCCTAGAATAGCACTCAAGCTTTTTTTAAGTAAATTAATTTTTAAAAAGACATTATCAAGTAACTAGTGCTGTCGACTATGACAAAGGAGAGCTGAGTGGTCCAGACACAGCCACGCCCTGCCCTGCCCAGGGAGACCTGGTTTTGAAACCTGGCACTCAACTTCCTGGCTGTGTGCTCTTGAGCGGTCTTTGGACCTCACTGTGCCTCGATTTCCTCATACTCAAAATAAGGCAGTTTCAATCTATCAACCTCACAGGGAGGCGTGAGGACTTCAGGGGTAACCTGGGTACCACCACGGCCCAGTGCCTGGTTCCCCTCAGAGCTGTGCTCCCTGCTGCTGCTGCTGCTGGTGATGACGAGGAGGGGGAGGAAGGGGATGGTGGTATGAAAACAACAGAAGTCTGAGAAGCACTGGGTGCCCAAGCAAAGCACATTCTGAGTCTATGCAGTCCAAAATATTCGTTTTAACTATTTCTTGCTTCTGTTCTATGCCAGCCCCGGCTATAACCCTCTAGCATCTAAGAGAGTTGAGACTGACCCTGAAAAGCCTCCAGGTCTGTGCAGTTCCAATCTGTCCCCACTAACATATGGAAAAACCAAGGCATGGGCAGAAAAGAGCTTTGAAGGTTACTTGGCCTCAAACACAGCCCTTTAGATATGACTAAGAGGGCTCACAAGCCTGGTTCACCGTGACCCGCAGAACTTGGTAGACTTTCTACCCGGCCCAGCTCTGTGTGATTGGGTAGTTGCGTGTATAATCCTGTGTGTGTGTGTGTGTGTGGCCTGAAGAAGACACTAAAAGTCAGGCCTGCTTTGACCCCTCAAGAGACCATGAGTTTAGGCATGACTCCAGGGAATGCAAAACAAGAGGCTACAATCCCTGGGCTGTACAGCTCCCTACCCACCAGCTGCCCTGAGCTGCTCATGCTAACCCTGAAGACTCAGCTGGAGTCTGCCTTTGTCTCCCCTGTTAAGGGTCAAGTGTGGGCTGAGGAAAGCTTGGAGATTAAGTGACAAGGAGAGCTGTGTGGCTCTGTGAAGGACCCCGGGCTTTGAAATCTTCATGCTTTTCCCTAGATATGTGACTAAAACTCTCCCAGCTTTGGCTTCTTCACCCTTAAATGATCACGTATTTTCTGTAGGGCTGGGCAGGGCACTGGAAGTGACAAATGACTAGTTTTACTAGACAGTTATAAGTGGGAGTGACTGAGAATGTTCTTAGTATTTAAAAAGAAATGGTCATGCAGCACCAAGGAACGACAATTTACAAAAGGGTCTGTCCTCTCTTGACTAAGTCCCGTAAGGCCTGCCTGGGTCCCTCCCCTTTGTGAATTTGTTTCCTGTTTTACGCTTTTGTACATTTTGTTCAACCTGACATTCTTAAGTTAAGCTATCAGCAAATATTTGGTCCTTTGAATTTCACCTTCTGTTCTCACCAAGTGGAGTTCATTTTTAGAGAGTAAGCAATTTTCAAGTTTACACTACTAGTTTGCAAATTTTAGAAAGTTATTGGCTAACACTGGTCTTGAGTTGTGGTCTGGTGACCCTGCTCTCCATGAAAATAATATTACCTTCCACTTACTAAGGCAGGCCCTGATATGCAATACATCACGAATCCTTCACTCAATCCTATGAGGCATATTTTGGCATTTTCCCTTTTTATTCATGAAGAAATCAAGCTCAGATTAGTTAAAAATAAATCTCCCCCCAAATTGCACCACTATGTAGTGGGGGAGGTGGGATGTTAGCCAGTTCTGATTGATTTCAAAGCCCCATTTTCTCTCCCCAAAATTCTCTCTGGGTTTCTTCTTTCATGCGCAGTGCTTATGTCTTCATTTAATTTGTTTCCTTATGTTAGGTCTGCAATTATTCCACTGACTTCCTCAGCTGTCCTCTTCTCTCCCTCACTCAGTTATCTCTGCTTGAATTCAAACGCTGAGCTCTCCATAAAGCTAAGGAGTTCTGGGAGTAGATGATAATATGTTTCACCTTTACCAACAAACTTAAATTTCCTACATTGCATTTATTTTTCTGTGGCAACCAAAGCTCAGGGAAGACTTTGAAGGGATCCTGGCACCAGGCCTTGCTTAGAATGGCCACCCTGCCCCACAGAAGTACAAGTCAAACTGTAATACCTTCCCAGTGACTCTGTCCCGTTTGGCTAATGGTCATGATAAAGAGAGGTGAAATCTCTTGCAAAGGATCAGGCACAGGTTATCTGACCCTTAAGCAAGAGCCCAGATGCAAAGTTTCCTCAGTGATGTTTAAGTGCCATAGCTATCAAAACATCACTATTACGGAAATTCCACAGGAAACTTAACTTTGTTATTGTGAAATTGAAACTCTCCAACCCTTTAAGCCTGCCTTTCCCTCATTGGAACGGTGGTTTTTATAATGGGATTTTGCTTTTGTTTTTGTTTCTGTTGGTTTTTGTTTTTAATGTTAGGAAAGACAATTGTTCTGTTCCACAGTCTTGATCTTGAATTTGACATTAAACCTCAAACCCCTCTGTAGACACACCATCTACCTCAAGGTTCTATCGTTGTCACAGAGGACACACTCTGTGCCTCTCCATTTCAACATGTTTTTCACAAGGGGCTGGTTCCACAATGGCCACCTACCCAGCTGCCTCCCACAAATCAGGTTTCCTTCTGCCTGGATCTGCTTTAAAACTGCAGCTTGACAGCTGTATTTAAGGGACACTGCAGCACAGGGACCGCTCTGCACATTCAGTAAGACTGCTTTGAGCATCCTTTATAAAACAGGTGTGGCACAGGCTACAGACACAGAAGACACCGGTATTCTGCCCTCCTGGAACTCACAGCCAGGGGTGGGGAGAGATGGGCATTCCCCTGACAGTCACACAAATGGGAAAATGCAACCTGGGGTAACCGCTTCAGAGGAAAATCTTAGGGGCCAAGAGGAAGAATTAGTACAGCAGGAAGGCTGGGCCTCCTCAGGAGCCTCTGCAGAGGTGAGTTTAGAGTTGACACAGGAAGGAGGGGTGAGGGAGGGAAGAGCAGGGTGTATTCCAGGCAGAGGGAACAGCCTATCCGGAGGCTCTGAGAACCAGGGCGCCTGGCAAGTTGGAGAAAGGCCTATCACATGTAGCCGAGGCAGCAGAGTACCACAGTAATATACAGCCCTTTCCTATGTGGCGGCCATTAGTCCAGGAAGATGGATTTCCATCTTGAAGGTGCTTTTCAACCTCTCATTTTCTAGACTAGGAAACCCAGGCCCAAGAGGAGAAGGAGGCGTTCCACTCAGCGAGTGGCAAAGTCAGACTCAGCTTCTGGGCAGATTTGCCAGGAAGTCAAACAAATCATATGCCTGAGACCCCCTTGTTGGTACAGCACCTTCCTGGGATCTGTCCCTCATTTTGTACTTGCAATTGTGTATTTTTTCTCAAAGAGGACTGCCAAATTTGCATAAACTTTATGCCCCACCGAACGTGAACTTGCCCTTTGTGAGACCTTGGGACTTCTGGCTTCAAACTTAACACAACTGTAACGCTGCCTCTACTTACTGGGGTGAAGTCAAAGCGACACAGGGAAGAATCCCTTTTTTGAATTCAGCAAAGCAGAATGTGAGGGAGCTGCCCCCACAGGCTTGGGGAAGATCTGCAGCAGGACAGGTCAGCGGTCTGGTTGGGCCAGCCCTTTTACATCCCGACACAACTGTTTCTCAAAAGCCCTGATCCCTTTCCAAGACTTAGAAAGCCACTAAATAACACTCTTGGTTTCTGTCTCACATCCAGAAACTCTTGCTTTTACATGGCTTATTGTCAGTGACTCAGCTTCCCCAAATGAACAATACATTCGACTGCACTGTTCCACCATGATCACTGGCTTCTAATTCATTTATCAATTGATAAGCATAACCTTCACTCAAAACCTCACTCATCTTTCTCACTGATTCTACTCTTTAATCTCCCTTTAGACTTAGTCTGCCCGAGAGGCTTATGACTTAGAGGCTGCAAGACATATGAGTTGTAAGAGGCAGGATCTGGACGTATGTGGATCCTAGGGAGTGGCTTGTTTGGGCCACGGAGCCCACAAGCCTGAGTGCTGGGATTTCTCCAGATCTTCTTGGGGTGAGCGAACCAGGGAACAGTTCCTCCCATGACTATTTATGTATCCTGTAGAATGTGAGCTCCATGAGAGCAGCAAGAATGGGCTTGCTTTGCTCACCTATGCTGACTCACGACAGGTGCTCAGTAAGTAGCTGCCGAATGAACAGATGATGTTACCCAGAATTTTAAGTTCAAAGTCCCAGCCAGCAGGTGGAGTGATGAAAGTCATAGCAAATAATAACTGCATTTGCTGATATGGAAGACATCTTATTATTTCCCCCCAAAATGTATTCAAATATTACCCTGCATCTAATGCATCTGAATTACGTCAAATCACTAAGGATAGAAGCAGATGTATCGCTTAGTGTCAAAAAGCAAAATCACTGTCTCTCCTCTACGGTCAGGAACCAGACAGCCCTCTTTCCTTCTCAAAACTTCATCAGAATTCCTTTCAATACACTATCAGGAAAAGTACTAAATTTTTCTTCCACCACCCCCACCCTCAACAAATGTCCCTATGAAATAAATGTCCAGCGTGGGGCCTTATGTTCTGCAAGAAATAAGTATTTTCTTTAACCTCAGAGTTACCGCCTCATGATCCTAATGGGTCCTCAGAACTCATTTTTCCTGACACCCCTTCCCCGAAAATGTCATAGATATAACAACTCTGGGTCCCAGAGTGGACACCCGAGGCTTTGGTAATGAGACGGGGTGTTTTTATAGCAACTTAGGTGAATGTATGTGGTGTAACATACTCTCATCTCCTCTCCTAAGGACCCTGGAATGAGGTGTTATTAGTCCCATTTTAAAGACGGAGAGAGTGAGGCTAGTAGACTCAGAACAGGGCCTGAAGCCAGACCCTGTGACTCATCTCACAGCCTCTGGATTCCATTTCTCAGATCAGGGCCAAGGAAGGCTTAAGAATAGGAGTATGTCACTGATCCTCAGGGCTCGTACGCACACCCTGCAGAGCCATCTCTGAAGAGAGGACCTTGCTGTAAATTGGTGGTTCAAAACAAGAAAGGTATCTCCTGCTGGAAAATCTCATCTTCATGCCCTCCCTCCCAAGGCTACCTTTAAGCTCCTTGTGAATAAAAAGCAACCTACCCCCTTCCCCCTTGCCTTTGTTTCCCCAGGACTTGATAGTGACTTCCTTGCCGTGCTGAGTGACTACCCATCTCCTGACATCAGTCCCCCGATATTCCGCCGAGGGGAGAAACTGCGTGTGATTTCCGAGTGAGTCAGCTCTCCAAAACTTGTGCAATCTTCAAAACAGGGTAAACTTGGTTTGGGTGAAAAGTATTTGATTTTTTAGCTAGAGTGGTGTAGGTCCACATGAGCCCTGGTCCCATTACGAGGTGAGAAATTTGACCCATACTGCAACCCTCCTCTTTAATGTGGCCAGTGCTCTAGAACCTTCCATAGCTCTCCACTGCCTGGTAGATTAAATTTAAATTCCTTAACTTGACTTTTGAGATCCTTTATGATCCAACCTCTTATCATATTCTTCTCATCTCCCACCACATGTGCAGTGTTGATGCTATGTAGGAACGAAGACTGGGAAGGCAGCCCCGGGGTCTGGAAATCCTTTGGATGAGAAATATAAAAGATTTGCCTTCTCTCCTCTTACCTCTGCAGTCTGATTCAATATGGGCTATAGAACATGACAGGAGTCCTGAGCCCCTTTTATTTCGATCTTCATTGATGCAGATAATTGAAACTATATTTGGTTATACTGCAGAGTGTAAATCAATATAGTAAAGATTTATTTTTAAAAAGCCTCCAACAGTTGGGAACATTAACTGCTAAACCCTGAAAAGCAGCTATTTCGAGCACACGGGAGGGTTTCCCAGTTGGCTTGCAATGGAGGGCTATCCACTGGACACATATACTTTAAAAGGTAGATTTTCAGATGACGGAATTTGGGTTAACGTGGCCAGTGACAGATCTTAAAAGAGGAATGTTCCAACCTTTCCTGGGTTAAATCTGGTTACTCTGTTCATTCATCCTTTGGTTTTGCTATTTACCTATCTCTGTGTTCTCTGTTCTTGTTCTCACAGTGAAGGGGGCTGGTGGAAAGCTATTTCTCTTAGCACTGGTCGAGAGAGTTACATCCCTGGAATATGTGTGGCCAGAGTTTACCATGGGTGAGTACGTTTCTCAAATGGCATCAATTAAGCATGATGCTTATGCTGCTGACTCATAAGGTGGAACAAAGTTTCCAGCATTCATAGTAGAAAAGAAGGCACTGGGTCAAGAAGAGATATTCCTGCTCCCAACCCAGTCAATAAGGAAAGGAGCAACCTTGAGCTAATTTATCTCTTCTGCTCTCTGGGACTCAACTTCTCCCTCAGTAAAATGAAGGAAGTTGGACCTTTCAGCTCTAACATGGTGTTCCTGGCACAGAGTGGTAAACAGCTGGGAAATGTTATCGGAGGGCACAGCACAGTGCAGAGACTAGAAGTCAGTGTGTCTAGGTTCAAATCCTGCCTCTGTCACTTACTGGCTGTGTGCCAGTGAACAAGCTTTTTATGCATCAGTTCCCTTTCCTCACCTGTCAAGTAGAGATCATAACATAGAACGACAGGGATAATAATATATGACAATATGATCAAAATGTAGGGCCGTTAGGAGAATAAGATATAATGATACATGTATAGTTCTTGGAGCAATGCCAAGCATGACAGTAAGCACTCGATAAATATTAGCTATATTCTAATCAAATACCTATCCAGAAGCACATAGAATCCTTACTGCCAAAAATGCTCATGTGCCTTCCTTGAAAAATGGGTAAGACGAACAAGATAAATCTTAGAAAACTAGGCTCAACTCATGAGAAAATAAGCACCCTGCTTTCTCCTGTAGTCGTGCCTGTGAGGCCTCTGCAGCCTCCTGGGTGGCTTTGGAGTCCTGCACACCTGGGCACAAATCTTCGCTTCCCTCCTTCCATGTGAGGGTCTTGGAAAAGTCGCCTCACCTCCTGGAGTTACGTTATCCTCATCTGTCAAGTTACCGAGGCCAGAAGTTGGCAAAGAAATGCACAGCATATTGGAAATGGAAAAGAAAGGAGGCATCCATTGATAAACACTAAGTTACTTCTTCACGTCCAGAGGAGGACTCTACGTGCCACATGCTCATCTTGCAAAACAGAGATAACCACCTGAATCTTTTGACGACTGGAATTCTGCGAGTTTAATTTTAGTATTCATGATCTTAAAACTGTGAATACCAGATGCCATTTCCATGCTTAGGATGATGAAGGTGAACAAAAGTGGAGCAGGAGCTGCCATGCGAGTCACGTTCTGAAAGAGATGGGAATCACATGACTCTTCTACATCAGTTGCTCGCCCTGGAGCTGTTCGTTCATTAGCAAGCACCCATGAATGCCTTCATGCTGAAGATATGGGGCTGCAGCTGGTGGGAGCTGGGGGTAGTGAAGACCCAGGAGGAGTGACATAATTATGACCCTATGAGGCTACCAATCTAATAGAGGTGATCACATCCCTTAACATATCAAATAGGAAGAGCAGGGCTGGGCACGGTGGCTCACGCCTATAATCCCAGCACTTTGGAAGTCTGAGGCGGGTAGATGGCTTTGAGGTCAAGAGTTCAAGACTAGCCCAGCCAACATGGTGAATCCCCATTTCTAATAAAAATACAAAAAATAGCCGGATGCGGTGGTGCATGCCTGTAATCCCAGCTACTTGGGAGGCTGAGGCAGAAGAATCACTTGAACCTGGAAGGTGGAGGATGCAGTGAGCCAAGATCATGCCACTGTTCTCTAGCCTGGGTGACAGAGCAGGACTCCATTAAAAACACACACACACACACACACACACACACACACACACACACAAATAAAAGGAAGAGCAGCAGTGAAGTATGGCGGTTATGGAATTGGATGTCCCAGAAAAATGCATTCTAATTTTAACTCTATCAACTGCTGACATGGTATCTTGAGCAAATTACTTAATCACTGGAACCCTTAGTATTCTTGTCTGTGAAAGAGAGATAATGCTACCTGTCTTAGTGGGTGGAGATGAGGATTAGCTTTCAAGTGCTTAGTATGGTGGGAGGCCCATTCCCGCCTTTCCTGGGGGAGGGCTTGTTCCAGATCCTAACGGCTGTCTTCCTCCTTTCCAGCTGGCTGTTTGAGGGTCTGGGCAGAGACAAGGCCGAGGAGCTGCTGCAGCTGCCAGACACAAAGGTCGGCTCCTTCATGATCAGGGAGAGTGAGACCAAGAAAGGTGAGTGGTCCCCAACTCATCTTTCCCCGTCTGGGGCAGACAAGCATGTTTTGTTCCCGGCTGACTCATTATACGGCTTCATTTTCCTTCCTCCTACGTCCATGCAAATCGATCCGATGTAGTTAAGCTCCCTGCAGCCCACACGCTGCTGGGGAGGCCAGTGGAGAAGCAAGGAGACTAGAGACAGGCAGTGGGGAGCCGGCTGGGCACGGCCGCGGGCCTGGCCAACATCAGGCCTGATGGCTCCTGCTGGAAATTTTTCCAGCAACTGAGAACAAAACTGAATGCAGTGTGTAGGCAGATGCTGGGCAGATAGAACATAGCCTTTGGTACAAGCCTGGTCTGTGCTGTCAAGCTCTGTGACTGATTTGTCTGAACTCAGTGTTCTCATCTGTGAAATGGAGAGAACACCCCTCCCTTGTAAGGTTGTAGTGAAATTCAAATGTAATAATGTTTGTGTTGCTCTTGCTGCACAGAGAGTCCCGATGTCAGTTTCTTCTGTGCTCTGTAACTAAGTCAGACAGCTCAGAGAATCAGATGTGTTCTCACACACAGTCACCATCCTCTCTAGCGTTACAATTTCCTTGCATCATATGCATTAAGTACCTCAGTAAAAACATAAATAGAGTGAGCTCTTTGTCACAATTCAAAGCAAGGGTCCCAAGTTCCAATTTTAGCCTTACAAATTACTAAGTTACCACTTCTCTCTCTAAGCCTTGGCCCCCTGATCTAGACCATGAGATTCACAGTAGGAGAGTACCGTGTTTATTCCCAAATACTTCACAGCTAGAATTTTCCCAGACTAAATAATAATAATAGCTTTTTTAAAATTCAGAAGGTATCTTCAAGTTCCTGGCTTGCTTCTTGTACATTCAGTATCAAATAAGAGAAAACACACTATCTGAGAGTACTTTCCATGCACCTAATAAGTGCCAAAGCCACCTGGTGCTAGAGTCCTTCACCAAAATGGGCACCAGCCTTGCTTTCAGAACGCAGGGACCCCATATACATGATTTAAAAAAATCCAAGATCAACTTTTCTCTAAAAAAACCAAACATGCTGGGGGACAGAAAGATCAATGCAAAAGCAAAACATCCTGTGCCTGTCCTAGAGGTCCCCGGAGGCAGGATGGCCCAACTCAGAAAGAAACTTCTAAACTGGCCTGGCCAAACGGAGGAAGAACCCAGGGTGGGTGCCGCAGCTCATCTAAAAATAAAGATGTCATCAGGCAGATGTGCCGTCGTGCTGGAGCTGGGTGGGTGTGGCAGGCCCACCGTGGATATGCAAAGCTCTGACAATGTTCTACTTGCTACCCTCGGTCTGCTTACCACACTCCCAGTTCCGCTGACCTTACGGGAAGGCTCACGCTGGGTTGACTCATGGCAGGCCTGGAGCACTGTGAGGGATGTGCTGAGGATAAGGTTCACACCCCAGGGTGGCATTCCCAAGCCCCATGCCTCTGGCCATATCTCATAGGGGCTCTAGGCCTCTGTTTTCCCATCTTTAAAATAATTGGGGGCAATACCTCCTATGATCTTTCTGAGAATTAACAGAGATTTCTTGGCCATTGCTTAGCCCTGCCCAGCAGAGATAGCAAAGAATAAATCAGCTCCCTTTCTCCTCTGTCTCTTGGGTGTTTTCTACTCCTGGAACCCCAGAAGATAGAGCAAGAGAGGACCCTGAAACGTGGACTACATCCAATTCTCTCATTTTGCACTTGGGGAAATCGAGGCACATGCCCGCGGTTCTGCTCTTACCAACCCATACCAGGTCATTGCTCTAACGAGGCTCAAAGAGCAATAACCCGCCTTTCACGTGGTTCTTATAGATACCCAGAAAGATGACTCAACTGCTCCAAATTTCTGAGAAGACTAAGCATAAGTCAGAGAGAGTACAGACAAAGAAAGAGGGGGCATAACTGCAAGGACCTATTCAAATGTGTGCTGTGGCAGCACTGGTGGGACAGGGGCTGAAAAACAGTAGGGATGACATCTTGGAGTGTACTCGGGAAGGAGTCAAAAACCACCACGGATCCTGGAGCTCCAGGTTGCAACCACACTACAGTCATTCCGTTTGGCCTTAGGATGTGGAAGCACCCCAATGTGTTTGCCTCAAAACGCAAAGAGGACGAGGCCGGGCACGGTAGCTCAGGCCTGTAATCCCAGCACTTTGGGAGGCCGAGGTGGGTGGATCACTTGAGTCCAGGAGTTCAAGACCAGCCTGGGCAATGTAGCAAAACCCCATCTCTACAAAAAATACAAAAATTAGCCGGGCATAGTGGCGCATGCCTGTAGTCCCAGCTACTCCAGAGGCTGAGGTGGGAGGATCCCTTGAGCCCAGGAGATGGCGGTTGCAGTGAGCTGAGATCGCGCCACTGCACTCCAGTCTGGGTGACAGAGCAAGACCCAGACTCAAAAAAAAAAAAAAAAAAAAAGCCAAGAGGATGAAACCTGTGCTCCTAAAAACCTGTAAGGACCATATGATGAACACATCTGCTTTGACACAATAATACACTCCTGCAGTCTCTAACAGGAAGCAACATCTAAACAGAGAAGGGTCTAGTGGAGGGAAGGGCTGCGTCCTAGCATCACTGTTGTATCCCAAGGGTGGGCAGGTATCCCTGCCTCAGTGGTGGTGGGCTGGTTAGCTGCGTGCCTTGGGGTGAGGACAAGTGGAATCCACTGACTTTTCCTCCACCTCCTGCAGGGTTTTACTCACTGTCGGTGAGACACAGGCAGGTAAAGCATTACCGCATTTTCCGCCTGCCCAACAACTGGTACTACATTTCCCCGAGGCTCACCTTCCAGTGCCTGGAGGACCTGGTGAACCACTATTCTGGTAAGAGACATTCAAACTGGAGTGACTGTGATGGTGGAACCCCTCTTAGCTAATTGCTCTGCAGCACTATCTGTCTGGAATGCAGAGGGGTCGCCAATAAATGCAGTGATTTACTCTTGCTTTCCGCCCATGCTGCCTTCGTGATATGCTCTCTTGTTAATTCAGACTGTAAATTTCAGACTGAAACAGATTGCTTGCGCATGCTGCCTTAATAAGCAAAATGCAGCTAATCTCAAATTTGCCCTCTCTTGACCTGTGCATTAAACAAGTTAGGGTGTGCCTAGATTCACAACTGCAACCAGCTTGCACATCCTTAAGTGGGCCATACATATTCAAGCCTCTGGAGCTCTGTTCTAGAATACCACTCATTCTCCCTTTTCTGCTTGTCAAAATCCTCATTGGCCTTCAAGGCCAACATGAATCACCTCTGCAATGAAGCTGTAGGAGTTAGCAGTGGCTGCCTGTCTTCGCTGTGCTCAGAGCATGCCAAGGATTTCTTTCCCAGCATTCCGATCATGCTCCCGCGTGGCCTGGTTAATTGTGTGCTAGGCTGTGTTCCTCAACAGGCTCCTAAAGACTAGGAATTACATTTAACTCATTTTTGTGCCCGTCACAGACCCAGGAGAGAGGTCTGAATTCTCCCAGGCTGATAAGATGGGGAGCATCCACTGAGATAAAGGAAGCATCATGTGGTGTTGGTGGCTGGAAGAGTGTAGGATACTGCCACAGAGAGAAAGTTGAGTTACACTGTGAAAGGCCCAAACATCAGCTCAGGAGTCAGAACTTTACCCTACAGAAAAGGGAGAAATTGTGAACAGTTGACTAAATGCTAAATTTCCAAAAACCAGCTCTGGAAGCTCTGTTTCTATCCCAGATCCACTCAGTGTTAGCTGGGCAGCCTGAGGCTGGCTGTTTGTGTCTCACTTTCTTCATCTGTGCCAGGCAGACACGAATAGTTCCCCCTCCCAAGGACACCATGAGGGTCCACAGAGTCAGTTCATGGAAAGTGGGGAGCGTGCCTGGCTCATAACCACGAGCTCCCATTAAATACCAGCCACTTTTACCCAGCGGAACATCAGTGTCCTTCCCACTTACTCGCATATTGCATGGAGGAAAGGAAGAGGTTGCTTTTGCTTTGACAGCATCTTCCCCCTTCTGGGTTCAGGATGCTTGACCTCACATGCTTAGGGCAACTTTGGTGGCATTCTCTTGTATATGTGGTCTTGAACTGAGCAAGCAAAGTGCATTTCAAGTAGAAACAGGTCCACAGGACTTTGGTTATCACAGCTGGCCCATGAGAAGCAGCAGGGCATGAAGCAGAAATGGCTGCTCAGGAGAGGGAGGTCCAAGCTCAGATCTGCACCTTGTGAGGCCTTGGGCAAAGTCAGCCACCCCTCAGAACCTGGGGTCCCCATTTATGGGAGCTGAGTGAATACAGTCTCCTAGCAGGTGACTGAATAAATATTAAACACGATCGTTCATGTAGTGTGTTCAGCATAGCCTACCAAAGAGCAGATGCAAAATAAATAACACACATTACTTGTGATATCTGAAAACTGAGCAGCCAGGTAAAACCGAAAGAGGAAGGGAGTCCTGGAAACAGCCAACTTATATTGGTTGTAAGAAAAGGTTGGTTGTGGTATTTGGCTTTTAATAACAACCATCAGAGGGGGTGTGAAGACCATAAGTTTTGCATAGACAAAAGCAAACATGAGAAGGATGCTGTCCTAGCAAAGCTTCTAGGCACCATGAGGCCATGAGGCTACCAGGCTACCCAAATCTACCTGCCGCTGCTTGACCATGGGGGATATCTCACCCCAGTGCAGCACTGGCGTCTTCCCACGGTATGTTCCTGGTCATCGAACCACTCAATGGATTACAGTCATCTGTTCACCTCTGTGAATAACTGAAAAGGTGTAAAAACCCAAAGTGCTTCCTATGCCCCATTGAGAATCCCCAAGTGGAAGCCACATGGCCACTTTTATCTCCACTGGATTCATTCTAAAGACATGGGCTGGGCACGGTGGCTCACGCCTGTAATTCCCGGACTTTGGGAGGCTGAGGTGGGCGGATCGCCCGAGGTCAGGAGTTTGAGGCTAGTCTGACCAACATGGTGAAACCCCGTCTCTACTAAAAATACAAAAATTAGCCACGTGTGGTTGCAGGCACCTGTAATCCCAACTATTCGGAAGGCTGAGGCAGGAAAATCGCTTGAACCCGGGAGGCAGAGGTTGCAGTGAGCCAAGATTGCGCCACTGCACTCTGGTCTGGGCAACAGAGCAAGACTCTGTCTCACAGAAAAAAAAAAAAAAAAAAAACAAACAAAAATTAGCTGGGCATGGTGGCACATGCCTGTAGTCCCAGCTACTTGGGAGGCTGAGGCAGAAGAATCACTTGAACCTGGAAGGTGGAGGATGCAGTGAGCCAAGATCATGCCACTGTTCTCTAGCCTGGGTGACAGAGCAGGACTCCATTAAAAACACACACACACACACACACACACACACACACA